ACATAAATCCACAGGATTTATGGGACAGAGTAAAATTGCCATCAAAAGCAGACAACTTAAAGGGATATTTTCAGCAACTTCTCTCTTGGCAAACACATTATTAGCTCCTGGTGATGGAACGGAGGTAGAGAGGATTTGGGGCTTGTGCAGGAGCCTGGGAAGCCAGGCCGGCAGGGTGAGCGCGCCCTTCCAGGTCCCTTGCTGTTGACATCTTTGCTCAGCTTCAGTGAAGCACCAGATACCAATGAAAGCACACTCTGCTCCATTGTTAATGAATTGAGGTGGTGAAGGGAGCATACAAACTAAAAACTGAAGCACCCGAGAAGTCTATGGGAGTTGTTGCTCTGTCGAGGCTATGAAATGCAGCAAAACATTGTCAACCTCAAGATTCATGTGGAACCAGGCCAGAAGAAAAGCCTTTTCTTTTTACCTTCTGCATCTGCTGTGTTTAATCACATAGTATTTTGTAGCTGTCTTCTCCATGTACAGCAGAAATTCTGGAGAAAGCGGTATTTCTCTGGGGCTGACTGCAGTGCAGATGCGGACACTGACTCCACCTCATTAGCTCTATTTCTCAACATGCACCATTGAGAGCACCCTCTTCGCAGCCACCATTTAACACGAACATCTTAATCATGCTATTTCTTTAGTATACAGCTCCATTTTCCTCCTATAAATACTATTCCAGAACACGCTGCAACGACCATTGATTTTGGGTTGATCCAAGATAAGACTGGGACAATAGACTTTAGGCCTCAAGTCAGAAAGGAAACAGTTCTAATTATGCTACTTACCTATCACACTACAACCAATGAAAACATATGGTCCAGGATGCAGTGCAAGATACACTATAAACACTGAAAAGATTGCATTAGTGCTTGTAGCTAAGTGCTACTGCCAAACATGGGGAATTAATATTGAGGTTTTTCATATTTTACTAACTATACATTATGAAAGACTCTTTCAGGATATAATCACATACTATGTTTTTCCCCAGGATTCCTGCTTCTTTTGACACACAGGCTGAAAGCACTCCAGCAAAGCAAGCCTCTCATGTTTCACGGCTCAGCCCGTGCTCCCAGGCTGATCTGCAGAGCAGCCTGCGGCCGAGTTCCCTGACGGCCCCTGCCACCACGTCCCAACCTGCTCACTGCCCTGTCTTGCGCTGGTTCCTACGGCATCGGCATCAAGCTGGCTCCTTCCCTGTGTGGGTAGGGCATTCAGCAGGCAAAGCACTGGGAGCACAGAAGAAACAACTTCCTTTTTTCTCCGTTCTGTTGCCCAGCATCACAGCAACCTGCAGAACAAGCACTGCATGGAAAAGCACTGCTCTACTCTTGTATTCTGTAGCCTAAAGAACTGAATATGCAACGAGGTTAATTGTCACCCTATCTATTGAATGTTTTTAAAGGTGTAAAGGTCAGTTTAATTCGGTCCTCTATTTCAAGCACATTGTCAAGTCTTCCATATTTAATTTTAAGTCCTTGCTCAGAGGGTTGGGTTTTTCAACAACATTTTTGTAGAATAAGCTTTAAAGATAAAATCCAATCACTTTTCCACACATCTCATCTTTGTGAAAGCTATAACCTTTTTTACTAGAATTAATATTCAAAATCAATTGTTTAGTTAAATTTGGTAATATTTAATCCATTGAAAATGGTGGTTTTATTAAAGGAAATGTTGAGCAATCTTGGTTTACTAATACGGTAATACAAAAAAAAAATTCAAAGAGTGGAGCAGTGCCTCTAAAACAGACACTTCCCACTAACCTTAAAGAACAGATTTTTTGGGGGTATAAACAGCAGAGACGCTCCGTTTGCACTATTCTGACCCTGCTTATCATGTGGCACTCACATATAGTATAACGCGGTTAACGCACTATGTTATGCATATTAATTGATATAAACCGAACTGCTTGGTGTGATGTTTTGCTGCAATGTACCAGCTAAAGGAAGGAATTCAATTCAGATTTTGAGAAGACAGGCCAGAAAGCCATGCAGAGATATTGTCTTTAATACTTTAGAATAAGATATGCAATAAGATTTATTTCCCTTTATCCAAAGGAAAAAATATCACTTCATTCTAAAATCACTTAATTTCACTAAAAGATAAAAATAAATCACTGTTTTAGTATGTACACATGTTCTGAAGAAAATAGTTTATGTCATTATGTAACACGTAGACTGAAAATTGTGGCAAATGAATCTTACTTGCAGAAAAACACTGTATATTTCAACACAGCCTTTCTGGGGGAAGGGCCTGATAAATCAGGCATACAAGCTTTGAAGTGTATAAGAAATTGACAGTAAAGCAGAGGTAGATAGAAATCTGTGGTGAGCCTTTATCTAGGATTGTACTGGCTACTTATCCTAAATAATATTTGCAAAGTTATCAGTTCTGAAAGAGGAAACAGGAATGATTAAGGGCTTAGAAAAGCTTCTAAACAAAGATTTTGAAAAGACTAGGATTATTTGTCTTAGAAAACAGACCAATACAAGGCATCACAAAAATATGTAACACATTGAATAATCTAAAAAACACACTGACTACAAACATCTTTCCCTGGTCTTCCACCATAAGAACACGATAATTCTCCACAAAGTTAAAAGGTGGGAAAAACTGAAAAAGGAAATGTGCTTTTACAACGCACGTAATTAAACTATGGAACTCCTTGTTTACGGGAACTACTGAAGTAAACAAGTTTACAAAAATTGAAGAAGGAACTCTAATTATAACCGCATAGTTGTCATACCAGTATAAAAGTAGTGATACAAGTGTTTTATGTAATGATATTAAGTCACATGTTTCAAAGTTTAAAAGATTCTCTTATCAGGATCAAGGTCCTCCTAGATCAGGATGAGATATATGAGGAAGATAGATTACCCTGTAATTGCTGTTCTAGAGTTCTTCCTTTGAACCAGGCAGTGTTTTTCAGTGGTGAAGACAGGATATTGAAGCAAATAGACTGTAGACTTTCTACAGTAGCAGCCAGTGCCAACACTCCAGCTCCCACGAATGCCTGTCAGCTATTGCTGAATTCACAGAGGTGGCTTCACACGCCTATGTACAGGCACCGCACCTCAAAATTTTAACTCATTAATCTGTAAAGTCATCTGAGGTATCTTGAACATGACAACTGACTTACAGAAGCAAATTCTACAGTTCTGAAAATTACTTGTTCTAAGAAGGGAATCACAACAGTCTGTACAGAAGCACTATTCAACTTGTACCGTCCACAAGTTATTTTTGTATTTGGTAGGAAAAAATTAAGACATATTTCAACACAAATGGAATGTCAAAGAATATTTGAGAAGTAGCTATTTCTGCATTAAGTTTATTTTATTTTGAAAAATTTTTCCACCCGAAAAACACATGTAAAATATGATTATATTTTCCTCAAACCAGTAAGGTAGTACCCCCATCTGAAAAGCACAGAAATGTAGACTGCTAGGGAAAGGTTAAAAAAAAAAAAAAAAAAAAAACCAACTGATCTAGCTGCTTTATGACTTACCCACTATTCGTGGGTATTTATAAAAAGCTAGAGGATATTGCTAAAAAGAATACAGAAATAAGTTTTCCAGTTATATTGAACACAGAAGGAAGTCAGATATTAGGGTAAAACAAGCATTTTACCTGCACTGCTGCTTAGAAAATGTAATGTCATGTTTTGGTCACATTGTTGTATAATGGGTATATCGGTATATGAACTCTAAATAGAGTATCTGTGACAATCACCCGTAGAAAAACTGACACGTAAATAATTTCAGTTCATAAGCAAATGGAGTAGACCATACACTGTATGTTTTTAAACAGTTTTTGAATCAAAATGTAACTTCATCAATCTTAATCAAAACATACAGCTGTACATTTGGAATAAATCCATCCTTGTGAGGGGCCTAGTGGAAATCTTACACGCTACTGTGATTCTCAAAATAAGTCCACAAAGAAAAATCTTGCTGGAACCGTTTAAACTGCTCTGTGAATAAATATCATAAACAGGAAGACACATTAAGTCTATATCTTCTGTGGATAGTGTCTGGAAGAGGTAGTAGATCTATCTGCTCACGTTTAACATTTCAAACACGTTGCTGCTGGAGCATTCTTAACTGTACTGTTATATAATGACAAAAATAAAGACTGCCCTCAATAATAGGGATGATACCTCATTGAATGATACCTGTGATCTTCTGCTTTTCAGTCTCACTTTCAGTATTATCACTGCTACTGTAGGAATGCTGAAATTTGTTCTCTGCGACTAGCAGTAAGTACTGCTCTTTTAAATCTGAAATTATATACCGTGCGTAAGACAGCGTGGTAACTACTGTGCCACTTTAATGACTCATAACTATTCCTGGAACAGCACAACTTCTATATGTTCTGAACGTCTCTAAAATGTTTTTGAGTCAACGTTATGAATGCTGCTTTAAAAATAAAACAGTTTCAAGAGATACTGACATAAAAAACATAGTAGCCTTTTTGTAATGAGTTATTTTCTCAACAAAGCTGAAAAGATAATATCATTTTAAGTGCTCTCACTGCTCTTATAGTTTTCAAGAGGACTATCCAGATTCTTGAGACAAAGTATCAAGGCCAAACCATTAGACAGACTCAAGTTTAATGAATCTAAGAAAAAGCAGGCGGGCTTAGTCTGACACCATTTTCACTTCTGTTGCTGATAGCCGAAACTCCTGTATGACACTCCCGCTCAAATGTGAACGCTTCTCATTTTAATCTCAGAGCCTTCTCCCTGATATTTTATATAAGATTGACAAGTAACAGCATAACTGTATTACTACCATCTTGACTACTTTCCTCTCTTTCTTCATTTCTTTCACTCTATCTTTCTGACTGCACAACATCTATTTTTTTTTTTTTTTTATGAGGGCCTGATCTGAGCTGATGAGTACTCTCACAATAACAACAACTTTAGGTACTTAAAAATAATAATGTTGCATTTCATTTTACTTGAAAGTTTGCTTGAAGTGTCAAAATTCTCTTACCTAATGTTTCCTTTTGTAGTTCCCAACACCTATTTTGTAGCTCATTCCCTTGCTGAAGTGAAGTTTGAAGCTGTTGTGTTTTCAACTCAACTGTATCAGCCACCAATGTCAGATGTTTCACCTTTTCTTGGAGGGACTCGTTCTCTCCCTGGGATTTTGCTAACCTTTGATTCAATTTGGATATTTCTGAAGAGAAAAATCATACAGATGGTTGTCAAATTTACCTTACCCGCTAAAAAGTATCTTACCTGATTTACGACCTCAGGACTTTAGTATCCCGTAATTTTAGTTGGGGTATGGGCCAGGGTAAGTCATTTTTATCAGCAACACTTCTGAGCTAAAAGAACTGCCATGTGCAACACTTCTTGTGTAACTTGTACTTAGTGAAACAGATAGTACTAATGAATAACACAAATTTTATTCTAAATAATAATACATATGTCCTCTAAGATCTCAAAACCAAATTAAAATATATGTATGCATGCCAGATGAAATAACAGTAGGTGACATATTTGAATCCAATATCTTAACAAGATATACAAACAATTATTGACAGACAAGGAACAACTGTAAATCCCACTGAAATGAAATTTAAGATTTCACAGTACTTCACTAAAGATATCAAGGGGGTACTACCTCTGATAAGCATAATATAAAACTTATGCGTGCAAAATACCTTTGGGCATCTGTATTAATTTTGTTTTCTCTTTTCATTACTTAGGGTGACTACTGTTGTTAAAGGAATCAAAGTGCATCTTCAAAACATAAAAGACAGGCTTTTTCAATCTATCATTCATCAGCTCTTCAACTTAGAAGTGTAACAGTTCCAAGAAAGCTTCCCAGGTAGTTTCTATTGCAAGGTAAATAAGCCAGTTATGGGTGGGGTATAATGAGTCTTCTTCTACATTTTCATAGCTTTTCCCTAAGCTTAGTTTTCCTTAATGAGTGTACTCAAACACTTTCAAAAGCTGTTGCAATTCATTTCTATTTCTCTCTCCCATTACAGCCCTAGATGTTCAGTTGTCCAAAGAAGTTATACCACTTTGATTTTTATTAGTAATTACAATTTTCAAGTTAGATAAAGCCTAATTGAACTTTCAAATCATGTATTACAGAATTTTTATATTCTGCACACAGGCAAATTTTTAATTCTTTCCATAGTATAAATATTTTCATTAACTACAACCTTTCCCAACTATACCACATTTAAATAAATTGTTATACTAATTGCTATAAATACTGAAAGATTTCAAGTTCTTATACTTGTTTCTACTTGCCATTAATTAACTAAGGGCAAAGAAGGTTTTTTATAAGGCTTTTTCACACCGACCAAAGCAATGGGTTTATGCATAAAAAGCAGCACCTCAAATACCACTTTTTCTTCTCCAAAATCTGACATAGAAAACAAGTTCTAAATTGAATTACCTTACTGTAGAAAGTAGTAAGGTAAAATGAATGAGAAGTTTATTAGACAATAATATGTTACCATATGTAAATAATGAAGAATCATAAAACAGAATAAAAGCTTTAGAAAAGCACCAGCAGGCAAAAAAAATTTATGGGAGACTAAACTGTTTGGTTTAGAAAGCTAGATTTAAAAACATACATAGTACCCACTGCATGGGATATGTTGAATGCAGCAGGAGATATTTAGCACGTATAATGGGAGTAAGAACAACAATTGCTTAGAATTTGAGAGAGAGTAATTTTCTTGGGCTAGATCTGCAGTTTTCTGTCTTCCATGGGATTTCATCAATCTGAAAGGTCAAGGATAAAGTGAAAATTACTAGTAAGTGAATTGTGACATTCTATAAATAAATGAACATCTGCAAAGCAAATCATACTGAAGTGAAACAATTGCATAAACAATGTCCATGTTCCGCACGCAACAATGATAAATAATTTTTATTTTGGGGATAAATGTTTAAAAGAATCTGAAAGGTCTATTTAAGAAGTTTTAAAACGTCATGAATATTTGAAAACGTCTGCAGAAATGCATCTATGTAGTCTACTTAGCTAGAAATAGGCAGGGAATAAGCACAGGAAGAGATGAATTCTTAGGGACATTAACACTTCCCGTGCTCAGCCCAAGTAGGAGATGAAGTCATGTGTCAAAATGCAAGATATTGACACTTAAATTAGTTGTTGTTGCAAATACCGAATAGTAAAAGGGGATTTTCTTTTAACACTTGTCTTCAAGCAGGCAATAGCCCTCCCTGGGCTCAGAACATCCCAAACTCATTGTTCAGATTCAATACACTGCCTCCATGGGTAATACATGCCTACTCACTCCTGAAGCATAACTGCCCCGTTTATTTGTTCCTATTGCGAAAAGAACAAACATGGAAAACTTTAAAAATTAGCTCTGCTTTTACAGGAAGAATGAGTTTCTAGGGAGCTATTATTTAAAATAAAGTTACTTATTCTCTAAGACACTCTGTGTACGCAAGTTTCACTTGAGCTATGCATCTGTACTGGAGTTCACAGGGTTTCCACCAGCAGAATAATTTGGGAGATGGACATTGCCTAACATGCCCTTATATTCTTTCTCACAGGGACATAAAGGGTCCCATCAGCTCACTCACTCCTTTGCTACCTTAATAAATCAGAAAAAAAAAAAAAAAAAAAAGAAAGAAACCTAAGCTCCCAAGCGGCCTGTCCCCTTTTCCACATTTTATAGACTTCCTTCTTCTGTTTGAGTTTTGCCAGTAGTTCCTTGCTCATCCATGCAGGTCTCCTGCCCACTTTGCTGGACTTAGAGGGATGTACGTGTCTTGAGCCTGGAGGAAGTGATATTTGAATATTAACCAGCTCTCCTGGACCCCCCCTTCCTTCTAGGGCCCTACCCCATGAAACTCCTCCAAGTAGGTCTCTGAAGAGGCCAAAGTTAGCTCTCCTGAAGTCCAGCGTTGCGATCCTACTTATTGCCCTGCTTCCTCCTCGCAGGATCCTCAACTCCACCATCTCATGGTCACTGCAGCCAAGGCTGCCCCCAACCTTCACATCTCCAACCAGACCTTCTCTGTTTGTTAGTACAAGGTCTAGCAGCACCTGTCTCCTCGGTTGGCATCTCCACCACCTGTGTCAAGAAGTTATCCTCAGTGCTCGGCAGGAACCTCCTCAGCTGTTTGTGCCTAGCTGTGCTCTCTTCCCAGCAGATGTCAGGGTGGTTGAAGTCTCCCATGAGAACCAGGGGCTGTGATCATGAGGCTACTTCCAGCTGTCTGTAGAAGGCCTCATCAACTTCCTCTTCCTGATCAGGTGGCCTGTAGTAAACCCCCACCACTGCGTTGCCCATGTTGCCTGCCCTTTAATCCTTACCCATAAGCTCTCAATTTGCTCTTCATCCACCTCTAGGCAGAGCTCCATACATTCTAGTTGCTCCCTCACATAAAGAGCATATAAGTTGCTCCTTCACATAAGGAGGGGGTAGCTGGCAACATATAAGGTGCGCATTTGCTCCTTTGAGGTGGCTCATGTATTCAAGGCAACCTGATGTGTATAGCAGTGTGCTGGCCAGGGAGCATGCCTGCCTAATGGGATGGGAGAAGGCCTGCACTGCAGGACCGCCCAGTAGCTCTGCAACAGGCAGTGTGATATAATACCACGTGTGTGTGAGTATGTATGAAAAATCTGGTAATGGGAGACATGAGTCAAACTAAAACTTCTGAGTCTTTGTATTACAATCATACCTACATATTTAAGTATTTTTATTATGTTTCAATTTGACTTGGCTAACTGAACATTGATCCAGCACAATAATCCATGTACGGAGTCCAGCTCAGTTCTCATGGTGCCACTAATAGCATATAGCAATGGTCTTCTAAAATTCTGATATTAATTTATCCTGATCAAAAGTAATAGAAGTGATCTATTTAATTTTACCTTCTAATTTACTATGGCATACTCAGCTACCAAAAGGTACTCCATCTTGGCCAAAGTCATTGCAAGATGACGATTTACCTGCCAAAGCTTCTTTGCTAACAGCTTTTATTTGTAGAAAAATTTCTTCTTTCAGGGCAGCCCAGTTTTCTAGATTACCAGACACAACCTCTTTAATACTGTCAAGTTCACTTCTAACAAAAGGAAATAACGAGAGCGCCTTGTTTAGAGTTGAGCAATGGTGTTCCAATGTACTTCTGCAGGAGACAAAAAAATAAAGCCAGACATAAATTTGTAAAAGGAAGTAGAGACATATGACAATCTTTTAATTATTTTAAGCTTGGTAACTCCTTCTCCATTATATCATATTTTTTAATAGTACATTCAGTTACAAAAATTAAGTATATGGAATATCTTTAATACTGAATATATTTATACTAAGTTTCTCTCTTCTTAATATTGATTTAAAACTTATACATACAAATAAAACTGTACAGACAACTGTTCAATTACTTTTTATTCTTTGAGAAACAACAGCCGTATAGTTTAAATGTCTGTATATCCAAGGCTTATGCTGAACCCTTTCAGACAACATATGTAAAGAATACTATATTGCTGCTGCATTACAAGTGCTTCTTACTCTGAGCATTAATTAACGTTTTCAAATTTGTGAAGAACTTATCCTGTTGCTAATAATACCAGTAACCAGTACTGATATTTTTCAGTTACATTTGCTAACACTACAGCATCCTACTGGAATGCTGTAGGAAAACAAAGAAAAATTAAAATGGTTCCAAACTTTCTTTCATTAATCATAGTATTCTTTCTGCCTGGGCCTGTGGCTCTGTTGAATCCTCTGAACCGATTATATGCTTTCACAGGAAGCATAACTTCTGCACCTCTTTGTGGAAGAAAGTGCTCTTACCTGAGCACTTGTGATTGTTTATATGCAGCTTCCTTTTCTCCTTGGAAATATCGCAAGTCTTCTTTCATGCTTTTTAATTCCTCTTGCTTGTCTTTCAGTTCCATTGTTAGTTTTTTTATTCTATATAGGTAAATAAAATAATCAGAAAAGTATTATTTGTGCTACTAACCAATCTCTAACTTTGCTTCAGCTTTAAATTAAAAGCTTACTGAAAATATATTTTTTAAAGGTTATGACTGCCTATTTTTCAACCTGAATTATCAGACCTTCAAATGGAGACACTACTCTTCAGTGCACTTTGTAGTAAATCTTTCAAAATAATACTCATCATCTATCTGTAAAATAATATGGAAGTGTGTACACGCAGTATCAGCTCATATGCAATATATAAATAACTCAGAATCCAGTGTTCATTCACAGCTGCAACACAGAACTACTCAGTTACTTAAATTATATTCACTGTTTTACTAATATGTTTTTAATCTAATATGTTTTTAACCTCAAGGGCATGAGAGAGCAAGCTGTATACAATTTTCCATAAATTACCATTCTCAAATTAATAGTTATCAAGAACAACTATTTCTGAAAAATTATGACATTCCAATATCTGGAGGTATCAAAGCCAAAAATCAGCGTCTACCATTCATCCTCCAAAAACATAGGCTATTACGTAAATCTCAGTGTAAAGTTCCACTTGGGTACTGATCTTAGGGGCTGCAGTACCTAAAACGTAGGTGCCTTGTCACAGTGGGGCGATTCAAGGTATCATAACTAGTTGCATAGGCTCCACATAAAGTTGCAAACATATGCATTTAAAGGGTAACAGAGAGGTCTTCCAAGCTGAAGGGGAAGTTGTCTCAAGCCAGCCAACAGGGAAAACTAAATATTTGGTTATAGTCCCCACTGTTCTTTTTCCCCTCCAGTCAGAATGTTTGTCTACGTCTTAATTCCAGTCACTTGCAAAAAAATGAATCCAAATTAGCCAAGAATCCAAGTTAGTCATTTTCATTTTCCTTTACACTCAGTTTCACATTCTGGTTCCTGAGCGCTGGAACAACACTTTTGCATTGCTGAGTTAAACAAAGGCGTTCAGCAAAAAGAAAAGAAAAGTGTAAATCTAGGTAAAATATTTCTGCATATTACTTTTGCCCCTTTTTCTTGACAATGTCATTTTAAAGAGCTAAAGGGAAAAATTTTATAAAAAAAACGTTACCACCAGATGTCACTTCTATATACTCAGGCAATAAAAATGACAAATGAAACTGGTATCAGAATGGTCAAAAACGTTAATAATTTTTTTCCTACATTTTTCTTAAGGAAGACTTAAGGAGATAGTACAAAGTTCCAAATTAGAACTAAGTTTCCATATTCCCAGCTTGATAAATGATATGACAGAGATAATAGGCATTTCTTTTTCTGTACTTTTGCCCTTCCTTTCAGGGAAGGAAAAACAAGCACACAACACGACCACCACAAAGACCCCCACGCAACAGATCTGGGGCCCAAGAAATTGTCAAACCAAGATGGAGTTGGAAGGTCATTATTTGGTTGCCCTAACTCTTTGACAAGTGTTAGCAGAGTATCAGGCTCCTGCTAGAGCATGGAGAATGGCCAGAGCCTCAGTGCTCCCCAGAACCCTGTCACTCCCCAACACCCTCGCTCCATGCCCAAAATCCATCTTCTGAGAGAAGCAGCTTGAAGGAGATGCTATCAAAACACACTCTACAAGCATTTCCTTTGAACAGTCTAAAAAGTCTTTTTATGCTTTCTCCCTATAGGAAAGGAGTATGTTCCACTGAAATAGCTTGGAACAGATTTTTTTCAATTGCCGTGCAGGTGACTATTTTGAACATTTTTAATCAAATTTGGCACAAAAAAAGAAAGCATAAATCTGGGAGTGAGAAAGTAGCGTACAGTTATCAGGACTCATGAATATACTGTGCATCCTCCCTCCTATTAAAAATACAAATTAATATTTGTCATGCCCATGTTTCAATTATGCTTATTTAAATGAGATTGTAACACCACAAAAGTAGAATAAAAGTCTGTGGTAGACTAAAAAGTGAACAGAAACAGATGATATGTGCTTACGGTTATATATGAGAGTAGAGTATTCAAAATAAGATGTCTAAAAAGTCTAAAGTGGGAAGAATCACCCTTCCACCCCTGAGCACCAACAACCTTGTTTCTCAGCTAACAGCTACCGCTGCTTAACCAGCGGTTTGTCTCTCCCTGCAGCAATCGGATGCGGCTGCGGGAAGAGGCACGAGGGCTTTACTCTATCTTCACAGCCCTTCCCACCCAGAAGAAACGCAAACGAAACCAGACGTCTCCTCTGACAGCACAGCGTGCTGAGCCAGCTGACCCGGCAGGGGACTTTCCCCATCTGTGGGATTTCCCAGACTCTTACAGCCTCGCTCTGTTACTTTGCAGCCAGACTGGCTGTGCAGGAGACAGTGCAGCTCGTTCCCACAACAGGTAGAACAGACAGTGTCTGCAGCTGTGCAAGTTTCCTCAGTCCCTGGCAAGCCTGCAGAGACACCTGCTAAGGACGGCTGCTCAGGTGCACTGGCTAACACCAGCACATGGCTTCTTCAGAATCATTACCTTTCTTCTCAGCTTTAAACATTAAAAAAAAAAGAGAGAGAGAGAGAGCGCGCGCGCATGCGCTTAATGTCCATTATATATGCCTGTAAATAAATACCATTTTTAAGTTTCAACAAACTTAGCTGTAATGAATGACTAGCTGAACAATCTTAGTGTGCCCTTTTCATTTTAATTGCTTTGTTTCCTTCAAGTGTGTCAAAAACATCATTTTATGATAACGCCAAGTTCACACCAAGAAAGTGCTTCCACTGGTTGGCATTACTAGCACCAAGTCCGGTGAGCTGTTCCCTAGCAGCGCCGGCTGCAGAGCTCTGGCTCTGCGCAGCAACGCCTTGCCCACGCAGCAGCGCCTGCTCCTCGCCTCCGCGGCCCACCTGGGCCTAGCCTGATGGCTAGAGTATGGCAAAGCAGACTGGCACGGGCCATTTTGTAGTATGTGAAAGTGTATTTCTGTAATAACTATTTCACAAAAGGAAATTACCGCATCAGGGACAGTAATGGCAGTAGGGAAACAGGTAACTACAAAGAAATGAAATGTTGTAACAGTTTTTGCTAGTAAAACAGAGGAAAATGATGGGAACAAATTTTGTTTAGAGATTTTTCCATGATGCTTTAGTGTGTCTCAGTATCCTGAAAGCACTCAGAAAAAAGTAATCATTTAACACATACTTAAATATTTAATAATACATTCAAAAACTTTTACCATCCTCTCTTTCTTTAAAATGGTTACCCTACCTCAGGGATTCAAGACTGCTGAACAAGAAAATCATAATAAGATTGAGAAAACAAAGGAAACTGACGTTAGTAAAGAGTGCGAAGCAGAACGACTCACGTAGTTCTGGCAGATTTAAGGTTTGCTTGAGATGCTTTCCCATGGATTCACAAATATTCATCAAATTTTGCTACACAGCAGAGGTCAACTCTACTAACATATAATGCAGTTTTCAAATCATCAGTGAAAATATGATTACCTCTGTTAAAGTTTATATTCTCGACTCGACTTCTATTTACACTAGGCAGCAAACACACTTTCTCTCCATATGAATAACAGTACTTTCAATAAGTTCTCCCAAAGTAAAAAGCCACACTAAAAAAAAAAAAACTAACCATACTTTTTTTTAATTTAACAATACATTAGTTTACATTAGTTGCCGAAGCCCTGCGCAGACCTACAAGTCCCCTCTGCAGAGGAGGTTTGGGTTTCTCTCGGCAGAACCCCGGAGCCCCTGCAAAGATACCAATTCTGGGCTGACATTTCTGCCTGGTTTTCTTGCTGCAAAGCCTGTGAACCAGCTGGAGGCTACCCTGAGTGCTAGGATGCCTCATACCATCATTACACATCCCCTAGCGCGCACTACGCGCGCTCTGAGAACTTTCCCCAGGCGCCCAGACTAGTGCGTGCCCCGGACACCAACACCAGAAGAATAATGCAGGCCCGCAGTATGACTTTTCACCCCAACTGCGTCTCACAAATGTCTGTGTTTGTCACTGCCACCCTCCAGGTGAAGGTGGTGGCCCTACACAGGGAGAAAGTGATTTGCAGAGGGATTATGACTGAAGGAAGTACGGGCGGGGGGCCCATGCCCCCGGGCCGGCGGCAGCCGTGGTGGAGGCAGCCGGCAGAAGTGCTCATCTCCCCCTCCCACCCTGTCCCAGAGCAGCTCTGGGGCAGATACCTGCCTTGCATCATCTTCGCTACAGCTCTGTATGGACCGGGTCATCTCCACGGTGGGTGCCCTCCCCACAAATCTGCCAGAGAATCCATCTCTTCCGAACGCCATTTACAAAAGAGATTTCAAAGTGTTATCACACATCAGGATGAAAGGGCATAAACAGAGCAGCTGAAGAATATATAATACATCTATAAAACCAAACTGTATTACTGTTTTATATGTTGCCTAGCACAAATGAGCCTTGATCTATATAACTGGGGCCTCTAGTACTGCCACAATTCACATTATTATTTAATTTAGTCATAGAGCTATGTTTGGTACAGATTCTTGTATCAACTGCTTTGTACACACATACTGGAAAAAAACGCGCCACGCTTTGACCCGGGAGAATGGCCCTGCTGGAGCCTGTGCAGCAGTCAGAAGGCAGGGCAACCCCCCAGAAGCACTGGGGAGTCTCCTGTTTGCCCCTCGGCAGAGTCTCCCGTTCGCCCCTCGGCAGCGGTACAGGAGTCTGTACGCCAGCCTGCCCTTTCCCGAGGGCACTGCTAACCTCCCGCCTCCGCCCCAACTCCCAGCAAATACAGCTGGCTAGTTTAAAGGAGTACTGTATGCTTTCAGTTGCCTCTTTTGAAATTCTTCCCTATTGCAGACAATCTGATTTAGTTATTTTTCAAATACAGCTTTAATAATGTAAATGCATACATTTTAGATACTGGTCTTTCAACAACTCGGGAGTTATTCCAACAACTCTAATGAAAAGAATGGAAGCATACAGCAAGAGGAGACAACTGAATCTGATTATATGCCTGTGTTACATGCACAAAACCAATATCACATAGT